TGTGCAACTAATATAGAAAATTTTTTTTTTTAGAAAGCAACATATGCTTAAAAGCATATATCCATAACTAGATAGGAGGAGAATTGAACTACCTCTCAGTAAGGAAAAGATTTTTTATAATATATGTTTTAAAATGCCTTTATTATATTTTTTTATTAATTGACATGAAAGAATATAAAAAAATATTAATTTTAATACTAATATTATATAAATAATTTTAATTAAATCATTAATAAAGCAAAAATGAACTGTTATTTTTTTTTTATAATAATTAATAATGAAAAAACAGCTCTCCTGCCCAGCACGGAACCCTCAGTTACGCTTACGCTAGCTTATTTTTCAGAGAAATATCTTTCATGAATTTTCGGATTTTGATTTGGACGGTTAACCCTTTTTTTAAAAGGATTTTTCTAATTTAACTGTTAGCCACATGTTACTATTAAAGGTATAATTAACTAATCTTTTAATATTTAATTTACATTGAAAAATACAAAGTTGATATTAAGTTTTAGTCGGACTGTCATGATTTTTTAATTAAATGATTAATAAATTAAATATTAATTTTTATTTTTTAATACAAATTAATTATTAAAAAATAACATATGCCGTATAGAGCAGATATGCATAACTAGATAGGAGCAGAATTGAACTACTCTAATTAAGGGGAAGATTTTTCTAATATATATTTTAAGTCAGTGTTTTCAAAAATCAACCCGGAAGTCACATCATTTTGACTTTTAACTTTTAATTTGATTCATTTAATTAATTAAATTATTAAAATTATTAATTTAATTATAAATAAATAAATATAATACATATTATGTAATAATCTAACATGACAGGTGCAGTGGCTTTACTGGTTTGTCACCTTGCCCATCGTCGAGGAAACGCGTGAAGGGAAGCTTAACGTAGCAGACATTTATGAGAAGCCAGATCATCCACTTACCAGTCACCACCATTATTCTGATTTTTGTCATTACCTCATTGCCTGTAACAAACTCTACTGTTTGCATTTTTATATTCATTCTATTACTCCCCCTGCACACAATAATACGCTTTTAAAAAAGATAATATAAATATCTAATTAAATTTATCGGTACTTGTTAACTATTTTATCTCATTACCTATTTTTTTTTTAAAAAAAACTATTTTATCTATCACTACTAAATAAGTTAACTATTTTATCTATTAGTACTAAATAAGGTTCTACTTTTAAGGGTAAGTGATAATTAATTAAAATTATTTGTAAAACAATGATATTAAAAAGATTCAAACTTACATTCTTAATATAATTCAAATGACTCTTTAATTGTTTGAATCAACTTCATTAGTTAGAAAAAATTATCATAGAATATTATTTTTAAAAAAATTTGAAGGTGGAGAATAGTTTTCAATTTTTTTGTCAAAATATTCTTAAATCAGTTTAAATGCATCTCAACAGTAGTTATTCACTAATTTGATTAAAAATAAATCATTCATATAAATACAAAATAATTTATAAGCAAAATAATTTATAAGGAATTATCTTTTCAATAACTTTTCAAAAAAATCAAACCTTAGTCAATAATTTTTTTATTAACTAAGCCAAAACGCTTGAGTAGGTAGAGAAAATTTTTTATATTTTAACCCTATTGTTGTGTCTTAAGTTTAATTCTTTTATTCCTAAAATTTTTCTACTATTATTCCTGAAATTTAATACCCCACTTAAAAAAAATCCCAAAAAGAATATTTTGATAGTCTTAAATCCTACTAAATTTCATCATGTTTTGAAGCAATGAGATATGTTTTCACATATTTCTGGGAGTACAATAGGGGGTGGATAGAAGTTTATTTAAAATTGATAAAAATTATGAGATTTAGAAACTTAGCATCAAAATCTTTGCTCTAGAAATTACATGTTTATAGCTTTAACTTCAAATCCTTTATTGGTAATTAAGTACTATTTTACTTATGATGCATGTTAATTATAATTAATGGAAACTGCAATTTAACTAATTATAGTTTTCTTTTTTTTTAATTTTTTGAAATTTAGGTTGTTTAATGAGAGACAACTCTCTTTTGTCACATCCTTTATCTACTCATATACCATGCAACTCAAACTCAATGCATTTTATTTTTATTAGAAAAAAATTATCACTAATTTACTTAAATTATTGATAGTTAATTATAGTGTTTAGAAATCATTTCTTACCAACCAAAAGGAAATCTAATTAATGTAATAGAGCTGATCCCCTAAGGTGTGGGGCAAAGATGTAGCATTGGATATTCGGATCAACCAAAATATTTTGATTGTCAAAATTTCAACATGCCATAGAAAAGATGTTTTCAGTTTGGACAGTTTGGACAAAAATGAAAATTGTCAATACAGAGGGTGTGGTGTGAATATGACCCGACACCACAAAATTAAGGCCACACGGAACTCATTTAATTTTATTATTAAAAA